GGGGGGGGGGGAGGAGAAGCTTTGTGCCGGTTTAATACGGAAGCTACCTGTGGTCATGAACTATTTTCTAAGCCACTTCGCTGTGACTCTTCTGATTCACCAGTAGGTGCATTTGTGCCAGGGGTTGAATCCAGGTGAAGCCTGACGCTGTATGTGGCTGCCTGGTGTGTGAGTCAGAGACCACCCTCAGTGTAGGATGGTCCACAGTGATGCGAGGTCACTGGTCCCCAGGCTGGGACAGACTTCCTCTTCTCCCCTCAGCCCAGGTAACCAGCCCTGGAGGTGCATGCGGTAACTGCTTAATGCAAGCCAATTGTTTCATTTTTCCCAGGCAAAGGCAGCCAGCTCGACACCTAGGGGATCATAAGGGACTGGGGAAGAACCAGATGGTGGGCAGCTTTCCACTTCCAGCACAAATGAACTGGTGGCATGCAAATGTCATGCAAAGCAGTATGCAAACTCTCACCCGTTGTGTTGAGTCATTCGCTCCTTAGGGCTCCGCCTGATTCTTCAGTTTAAGAAGATGCTCTGACTCCATTTTAGACGATAATTTCATTTTGTTTCTAGAGCTACGGCACTGAGCAGGCAAAGCCATTACTACTTATTTCAAACAGTGTCTGAAGGTTTGGCAGCTGAGGCTAGGTGAACTCATTCACATTAGAGAGACCATTTAATATTTGTGAAACTCACGATCTTGCTCTCGCCAGATTTACAGTAACAGCAGGAATAAGACAGCTAATAAGTGTTAGGCACACGTTAAATGCTGTAACAGAATCGTGTTTAATTCTCTCAGCAGTGTAGTGAGAAGCAGGCAATGCTAATATCACATACGTATACTGAGACTCAGTGAGCTGAAGTGATTTGCCCCGTGTCCCAGACTGTGAGGGAGCAGGGCCAACGTCCAGCTCCAGGCTGAAATCAGAGCACCACGTGCTCAGCCTGCGGCCTGCACAGTGGGGCTTCGCATCCATGCCAGTTTTTGTTTTGTTTTGTTTTTCACTTCTAACATCTCTAAAATCAAGTTTCTAGTGAACCTTTTCCTTCCCTGTTTGTATGTAAAATAATGGCATTCCTTATAATCAGTGGCTTCCTTGATTTCACTTAAAATAGTTTGTGGGGTGTAGTGAGTGGGGGTTGCACTAGAAACTATTTTAAATACATTGTAGTAATGAAGCTTACCTAAGCTGTGGGTGGCCCAGTTCATTCATTGATGATATAGGGAATGATGTTTCCTCAAAGTGAGGGCTGCCGTCCCCTCCCAAAGGTGCCAGTATTCTATGAGACCATTTTAAATTTTGTGTTTTCATTTTGATGGCCATCTGTTGGAAATAACAGAAACATTTTCTGGCTCTCCTGAATGACTGTCCTATACATGATCACTGCCACAAATTCAGACCCCCATTTTGTCGTGTTTACAGTTTCTTTGGCCGCAGGGTCTTTTCGACTTTT